GCCTTGGTAATGCACTGCTCTTACATTCACATATCTTGGTTTTGTTCAGCAGAGCTGCTAGTTGCCTGCACTCAGCTGAAGTACTTTAAATATCAAGCATATGCTCTCTAAGTGGTCCCAGATGTGCATGTGGAGCTGTGCTCAGTCTGACACTTAGTTCCTCCCTGTCTAAATCCTGGTTGTGTACCCTCTTTAAACCTCACTATCCTTAAGCTTGTAAAAATGTTCCATGGTAAAAGAGTTCTTATACAAATACACAAAATGAAAAAGCCTGGTTCTGCTCACAGAGTCAGTGATCATTTGTTTAAAACCAACTTATGGTTAAGTACTCCTGTGACTTTGAATTGAGAAAATGGTAATAAGGTTGTCTTTTAAACCTTATAACTAGCAGCCTGTTCAAGGCATTTCACCCAGCAGAAGATGCACCCAAAGAACTTGCACAGCAGGCAAAGAATTGGGATGGACAGAGGCCCAAATAAGCCATCATTGTGAGAATAATATATTTATAGTGCAGAATTTCTGCTAATTCTGGCACTGAACACAGCCCACCCACACTAGGCACTGCAAGAACACATGGTGAGAGACAGGCTCTACTGCCAAAGGCAAGATGCCCAAACAAAGGGAAACAAAAGCTTTCCACCATCCAGGCAATTGGCTGGGGATGACATGAGTGTGTGTATCCAGTCATGATTTCCTCTTGGGACAGAGAGGATGAGGAAGAAGTGGCATTCACCTATCCCTAAGAACCATTTCAGTGGTAGTCTTGTCCAAAATGATCAATAATGTCTTCATGTCACTGCCAATATAATATGAGGCATGTCTCCATGCCATACCTCTGTGTTCTTTCCTATGGTTACCTGGTTGCCCTGGGATCTCCTACACTATCCTTAAAGCATAATCCACTTAGATATTTTCCTGCACAAACCCTATAAAAATGAATGTGAGCTTCACAAGAATATTCATGAGCTCAGCAACCAGAAGTAAATCAACCCAGGCTTCAAGGACATGAAAATTGCTCTCAGCTGTCCTATGGTGGGGAGGAGGGAAAGACGCCAGGAAGAGCTGCAGGCTGTAGTATGGTGGTTGGCTGGTGGCTGAGAAATATGAAAGAAATGTTTCACCTGGAAAAAGCATCAGGCCAGTTAGTGCTACTGGTATTATACCAGAGACTGTTTACACTACTGCAATGGTATTTACATTAGCAATAGTCTTGCACTGGATATTGCTGTCTATTTTAGACATGATTTATATGTATGACTGGTTGGTGCTGTACTTTATGGGTGTGCTACAGACATACAGGGATCAGATCTAAAGGTGAGGGAGGGAAGAGGCCAGTGCCTAAGAATAAATGACGACAGGAGGACAGTGGACATAGACAGGGGGCTTTTAAGTTGCCACTTTACCAAAGCTTGTTCAAGATTAGGATTTGGTCCTTTACATATGTTCTCTTTCTGGATTTTTCCCTTCCTCTGACTTTCATACTACATATAGAAGTATAGTGAACTAGTTCTTATTCTGTTTCACTTTGTCATTTGTAGATAATGCTACACTTTCTTGCTTGAAAACAGAAAGTCACATAAATGCTTGCAAGCCATAGGAGAGGCCCTCGATGATGACATCACCACCACAGCTGGTATAGAATTTCCATACTACACAATAGCCAAAGCTCTCTGGGAGGTTTACACTGTGCAAAGCACAGTCAATGATAATTGATGAACATACAATCAATCCTTTGCATAACAAAGCCTGTGGAAAAGCAAGACATGGCAGCCTACCTAACTAGAGGCACAATCTGTAAACAAGGCTACCAGATAAAGAAATATAGATGCCCTCACTTATGGAGTGGACAAGTGGGTGAGGACTGCAGGGTAGATGACCCCCCTCCAGCTAAACCTCTGTATCATAGAATCATAGAAGAGTTGGGGGGGGAGGCCATCGGGTCCAACCCCCTGCTGTCCAGATGGCTGTCCAGTTTCTTTTTGAATGTGTCTACGGTGGGAGAACCCACCACATCTCTAGGCAGTTGGTTCCACTGTCGTATTGCTCTGACTGTGAGGAAGCTTTTCCTGATGTCCAGTCTGAATTGGGGTTGTTGCAACTTGAATTGATTATTCCGTGCCCTACACTCTGGCATCAGCAAGAAGAGAGCTTGACCTTCCTTTTTGTGACAGCCTTTGAAGTACTTATGGAGGGAAATCATGTCCCCACTCTGTCTTCTCTTCTCAAGGCTGAAGTGCCCAGTTCTCTCAGTCTCTCCTCACTGGGCAGTGTTTCCAAACCCTGAATCATTTTTGCTGCCCTCTGCTGGACCCTTTCTAATTTACCTGCATCTTTCTTAAATCTTGGTGCCCAGAACTGGACACAGTATTCCAGGTGAGGTCTGGAAGAAGGAGTGAACAGTCTGCTGATCAAATTTGCAGACAACACTAAAACTGGAGCAGTGGCCACAACTGAGGAGCAGGTACTCCAGATCCAAAAGGATCAGGACAGACTATGGAAGTGGGCAGGAGACAACAGGATGGCATTCAATGTGGATAAGTGCAAGGTCTTGCACTTGGGGCATAGGAATAGCTGTCATAAGTACAGGTTAGGTGACAAGTGGCTGGAGTGTAGCACTTGTGAAAGGGACCTCGGGGTACTGGTTGACTGCAGGCTAAACATGAGTCAGCAGTGTGATGCAGTGGGCAAGAGGGTGAATGCCACCCTTGGCTGCATAGCCAGAAGTGTGGCTTCTAGATCAAGAGAGGTATTACTACCACTCTACACGACTCTGGTGCGCCCGCAACTAGAGTATTGTGCTCAGTTTTGGGCCCCTCATTACAGAAAGGATATAGCCAGGTTAGAGTCAGTGCAGCTTAGGGCCACAAGGTTGGTGGCCGGTTTACAGGGGGTGGGGTATGAGGCGAGACTGAGGGAACTGGGCCTCTTCAGCCTGGAGAAGAGGAGACTTAGAGGGGATCTGTTGGTGACATACAGGTATGTGAGGGGATGTCACATGGAGATGGGTAGAGACTTGTTCTCCCCTGCAGAGGAAGGCAGGATGCGCTCCAATGGAGCAAAGCTCAGGGAGCCAAGGTTCCACTTGGAAGCCAGGAAGCATTTCCTGACAGGACCCCGAGGGTGTGGAATGAGCTTCCACGAGAGGTCATTGAGGCCCCATTGGTGCAGGTGTTCAAGGATAGGCTGGACATCCACATGGTGGGCATGTCGTGAGCGGAGCCGGCTGGTGCCGGAGGTCAGACTAGATGGCCTGGGAGACCCCTTCTGACTCGCTCTGTTTTTATGTTTCTACGTCTGACTGGTGAGCAGTATAGAAGAACTACTACTTCTTGTGATTTGGAATTATAAGAAATAATTCTGTTAATGCATCCCAAAATAGCATTTGCCCTTTTTGCAGCTGCATGGAATTGATGTCTCATACTTAGCCTATTGTCCACAATTATTCTGAGATCTTTTTCCTGCTCAGTTCTGTTTACTCATATATTCCCCATCTTGTATTGATGCATTTGGTTTCTTTTTCCTATGTGGAGGACTTGGTCCTTGTCCTTATTGAATCTTATTCTGTTGCTTTCAGCCCAGGTGTTCAAGTTTATCAAGATTGCCCTGAATCTTCATTCTGTCTTTTAGGGTGTTTGCTATTCCAGTTTTGTATTGTCTGCAAATTTGATTATTTTTCCTTGTCCTTCCTCATCCATATCATTCATAAAGATGTTGAAGAGCACTGGGCCCAGGACTGAACCCTGTGGCACGACACTAGTTACCTCCCTCCAGTTTGAGAAGGTGCCATTGATGAGCACTCTTTGTGTCTGCTTTAGCAGCTGATTTTGGATCCACCTAATAGTTTTTCCATCTAGTCCACTTTTTGCTAATTTGCTTATCAGAATGTAAAGTGGCACTATGTCTAAAGCTTTGCTAAAGTCTAGCTAGGCTGTGTTCACAGTGTCCCCTGTGTCCATTTGGGAGGTTATCCAGTCAAGAAATGAGATTACATTAGTCTGACAGGATTTGTTTTTGATAAATCCATGCTGGCTTCTATTAATCACTGTATTTTCTTCAAGATGCTTGCAGATGGATTTTTTTAAATGATTCTAATAGATAATGACATATTTCTCTGGAAAAATTCTGGAGCAGTCAGACTAACTGGTCTATAGTTCCCAGGTACATCTTTTCCCCCTTTTTGAAGGTAGGAACAACATTAGCCCTTCTCCAGTCATCTGAGACGTCTTCTGTTTTCCAAAATTTATTGAAGATAATAGCCAGTGGTTCTCAGAATTCATCTGCTAGTTCTTTTATGACTCAGGAATGAAGTTCATCAGGCCCTGGAGACTTGAAAGTGTTTATTCTACCTAGATATTCCTTGACCATTTGTCTGTCAATCTTGGGCTGCCATCTCTCACTTTCAGCTCGAACGTCCTCTTGATTGCTCTTACGGGTGAAGACTGAGAAGTAGGAATTGAGTAGGAATTGAGCGCCTCTGCCTTTTCCTTGTCACTCTGCCATCCACTTTAAGAAGCAGGGCACCCTTCTCTTTCTCATGTCTTTTGTTCTGGATGTACCTGAAGAAGGCTTTCTTGTTGTGCTGAGCATTCCATTGCTATTCTCAGTTCATTTCCTGCTTTAACCTTCCTGATGCTATTCTTGCAATTCCGTATTTCTTTGCAAGGAATTGGTAAGTCAAATTGTGGCCTCACTCCCTTATGTTATGATGCTAAAGCTCATTTGCATCCTTTCTCCACAACGAATGAAACACTTTGAATGAAGCCAAGCTTGGTGATCTGAATCAACAAGAATACCCTGTCCACATACCTTTCTGCATATGTGCTCTTTTTAACAAGAGAATTATTGTGTTTCCGGGAGACTAAAGACCCTTAGCCACGAAAATACACCACTTTCTCAAAATCACTATCTTTTCAAACTTCATACTAGTTCTCTTGGTTAATATCCTATTGAATAAGCAAATAAGTAATTTGCTTAAGCTTAATTACACTGATGAACATAGGTTAATCCCATCTTCTTTGATCAAGACTTGTGGACCAGAGTACCAGATCTTCTGCTTCTTTCTCCCATTGCTCCTCATCTTGGCTTCCGTCTTTCTTCTTAAACTCCAGAGCAGAAGTAGTTTGAGATCCAACTATGATGGCAATTATGCAAAAGGAAACAAAAAGAAAAAAATCATTAAAAATCATTTTGCAAAACAGTGTGGTAGCAATTATTTAAACTGAGAATTATTTTTCTGAGAATTAGAGAAAAAGAATCATGTTCTGCAATTCTAGACAAATACTTGCCTTGGGAGACTATGTAATCACCTATAGAGGTGTTAAGGAAAAGACGGTTAAGCTATTTACCAAGGTTGGGTTCTTACACCTCTTCAGTCTTACAGAACAAACTTCTCCCATGTTGCAGATGTCCCAACCATAGTATGAAACTTCTGAGGATTAACCCACATCTGGAAGACCTCCATTCTTGCCTCCATGTTTTAGGATACTCCTAGCAGGAGCAAGGAGGCTGTGATAAAACCACTCCTAAAAAAGCCAAACCTGGACACAGAGAGCATTAGCAACTATAGGCCTGTAACAAACACCCCCTTTTTGAGTAGTTGGTGGCTGGGCAGCTCCAACCATTTTTGGAGGAAACAGATTATCTAGTTCCATTTGAATCAGATTTCAGTTCTGGTTTTGGGATGGAGAGTGCCTTGTTCACCTTGTGAGATGACCTTTGCCAGGAGAAAGACAAGGGGAGTGTGACCCTGTTAATTCTCCTGGGCCTCAAAGCAGCTTTCAACACTATCGACCATGATGTCTTTCTGGATAGGCTGGCCAGGTTGGGAATTGAAGAAACTGCTCTGCAATTGTTTTGCTCATACTTGGCAAACCAATTCCAGACGGTGTTGCTGGGGAATAGTACTTTGTCCCCATGGCACTTATGTCATGAAGTGACATTCTATACCTCATGGAATGTTCCATTCAGTCCCTCATGCTGTTTAATATCTACATGGATCGACTGGGGGAGGTCATAGAATCACAGGATGGTAGAGTTGGAAGGGTCCAAGAAGGCCATCAGGTATAACCCCCTGCTGTTGCAGGATGCCAAATTACACCATCCCATTCAGATGGCTGTCCAGTTTTTTCCTGAATATTTCTAGTGTAGGGGAGCCCACGATCATGATTCTGGTTCCGGACTCCTAGCAGAGCAGAGCAGAGCGAGCTGTCCCAGCTGGTCTAGGACCTCTGGGACACAAGCAGGCAAGGTCCCAGGGAGTGAGTGACTAGAGTGAGTGAACAGGGAGAGCAAATTCCCGTTGCAACAACCCCGATTCAAGCTGGACATCAGGAAAAGCTTCCTCACTGTCAGACCACTACAACAGTGGAACCAGCTGCCTAGAGAGGTGGTGGGCTCTCCCACCCTAGGGACATTCAAAAAGAAACTGGACAGCAATCTGGGTGGGATGGTATAATGCAGTGTCCTGCAACAGCAGTGGATTGGACCTGATGGCCTTTATTCCCCCTTCCAACTCTTCCATTCTATGACCTCTCTAGGTACTTGGATGGTACCTATATTGTTTTAATGCACACTGTTAGTCACCTGGGCTCATTGAGCAATAGTAAGGTATAAAAATGTTAAATATTAAGGTATAAAAATGTTAAATATCTGGCCAGGGCGACTTCTATCTGGCCAGGGCGACTTCTTTTATATTTTATATTTTTTATTTATTTTATATTGTTAATTTTAATTTTATATTGTTATTTTTGTATTTCATTGTATTTTATTGTGTTGTAAGCCGCCCCGAGGCTTCGGCAAGGGGCAGCATAGAAATGTTCTAATAAAATAAATAAATAAATGTATTCATACATATTGATAGACAAATTTTGTTCTTTCTGATTTATTACTGTAGTTTACAGAGAGCAGCAGTAGAGTCAACAGAAAAAACTACTGGCCAAAGATCCAACAGTAAAGTTTACTAAACCAGTTTTAAATGAAAACTTTATGTTACCTCTGACAACTGAAATTTATTACAGGAACTTTATATGCAATCATTGAAAGTGTGTCCCAATAATTTTTTGGCCTTTATCCACAAGTCCCTTTAGCAAGATCATAATGTATGCAGAAGGCAGAAAATAATTTCAGAAAGTAGAAGGTGGGTGGCATTAATCTTGTTGCTTTTCACCAAAAACAGGGAAAAGCTGATAGATGAATGTTCACAGGACTTTTACAATAGGAACGGTATACCAAAGTGTTACACTTTCCTAGATATGATGTGCCACAACTTGAATGTTGGGAAAAGCTCACCATCAAGAGTTCAGCCTTGTGGGAAGATGAGAGAAGGATGGTCAAGATCTTTATGCCATGACAACCCACCCTGCAATTAAGTTAAATGTATTTGTAAAACCACCCACAACCCACCCAACAGACAATCAAGTTCCCTGTGAGTTGTCTGCCCTCTTGTTCCTGAGCTGGCATCCAATGGGACTTGGTTGCTAAAGCTGCTGTCTCCTCTCCTCACCATAATCACAAGCCTTTCTTTCATTCACCACGACATCCCACCCTTTCCCTATTTCCAACCCCGCCCTCCCCCAGAAATCATGCATTGACATTCAGGGCCCCACTGGTACGTTGAAGGGGCTGCCACTACTTTGTCATGATTTTTTTTGCAACCGAAATTTGTGTACATATTTTTGTAATTTCAAAAAAATAATTTTCTAATTGAACTTTGGTAAATGCACACTTGCGCAGATCCAAAACAGTCAACTTTGCTTTGATAGTATCCTGGAGGCTGCCTACTGTCAAAGTACAGCAGGCACCCACATGTATATCGACCCAAAGAAGCTACAAAGGTGTTTATTTCTGTCTTTGTTTTCCTGTGGCAGCTGTCAAGAGGCAAACTGTCAAAAGTTCTGTACTCTGGTAAAAGGGGAACAGCTCTCACTGTTCCATCTTCCTGACCACATGAGTTTCAGCTAAGGGTGGAAAGATGCAGGATACCAAGAAGAGCCAGGTCCAGCTGAAACAAGGAGCGAATCTCACTGCGAAAGGGGTCATCTAAAGGCCATCACCCTTTGCAGGCAAAAATCACTCAAGGCTTTGTTTTCCCTCTATAGCTCACCTTTTGACAACTGTCAAGGAAAGCAAGGTCAAAAATCAACCTCTTTGCAATCTCTTTGGGTCAATATTTGTAGTGGCTGCTTGCAATACCTTACCAGAAGACCCCCCTCCATGACAGTTCTCAGATGAGGTTGCCCATTTTGGACTCATGGAAATGTACATTCTTTTAGAATGTAAAAGAATGAAAATATTTGTGCACGTTAGGGTACAAAAAAGGGGTGACAAAGCAGTGACAGTGCCCTCAGTTTGGGCACTGTGAAGGAGATGCCATTGGTTGTCAATTCAGAGATCACAGCATGTGGTATCCGAGGGGATGTGAGGACGTTAAAAAAGTTACACTGAATGTGAGAGGACTTGCAGATGGGTGGAGGGACTGAACCATTGACAGTTGCCACTTGGGTGCTTCTGGAGTGACTGTCTCTGCTGCTGGCCCAGATGAACATTGCAAATGCAAATAAAGGGGTTTTGTCAAAAAAAAAAAAAAAAAAAAAAAAAAAACTCTTTCCAAAAGTCTCACTCACACTTCCTGGTATCCATAACAGGTTCAATTGCCCTGGTTTCAGATGGTACCACAACTGTGAGCACAACAGTTCCTAGAAAAAGCCCAAAGACAAGTCACAAGCCACCCTGTGGGAAACTGTCTGGGTTCACATGACATGGCAACTCACAGTGGCTTGCCCCCAATAATGGATTCTTCCACTATGGAAATCCAGCATCTGTTCAACAAATAAGAAACAAAGGCACATTGATTATAACTTATCAGGCTTAAATATGTTCCTGTCTTACCTGGAGTAGAGCTTGAGATATGATGACTACCTGTCTGGCTATCTAATAATTTTTGTCTCTTTTGTTTTTCAATACACTCAGAGATGATAAATCGATACCTTAAATGAAGAATAATTCCAGAAAAAGGAATATGATTGAGCATGATTTGGAGCATAATCACAAATATAGTTTTATTTATTACTATAACATCAACAAAACCTTAGAAATCTCACAGATTTTCAGTTTATGTGCAAGAAAAAATGTGAAGATACAGGCACGAGAATTCTCAGCTGAAAAAAATATTTCAGCATGCATGAATGGTGCCTTTCTCTGCAGCGTAGTTACGACTTTACCTACCATTCAGCAAAATAACAAAACAGTACTCTGGACCAGCTGTAGGTCTTAACTATTAAGCATGAGGAGGACTCTTTTACAGCAGATGAATCAGATTAAATATCCAGAGCACCGCCTTGTCCAAGTTTCCTGCATGAGTTTCAGTTGGTAGAGCACAAGGACACTGACAGGGTCACTTCTGTACTGGATCTTTGCCCTTGTCCTATAAAAACTGGCAGGAATAGAATCTCCAGCTAGGCCCAAAATACCTCCTTGCAAGGATCCAGGCTGACAGCAGTAGAGGTGAGATTCTATAGTCCTCCTTAAACCTGGAACATCTTAATACTTTTAGGTCAAGAGCAAATGTTTGCTTCCTGCATTTATGGCTGATTACCAGCAGCTCCAGATGCTTTTGGATAAAACCAATGACCTGGTTTTGATATAAAAGCAAACCTGGTTGTCCCAAATGGTGTATGCCATGAGAGAGACAGGGAAAGTGTGATCATGTTAGTTCTCCTTGATCTGTTGGTGGCTTGCAATAATGGATCAGATAAGCGCTATAACTGATGCCTGAAACTTAATTCAGACAAGATTGATATGCTGTTAGTGTGTGGTTCATTTGATTGGATGTGGGGTGCTCAACCTGCTCTAGATGGGTTTATACTCCCCATGAAGGTTCTTCTGGAGCCTATTTTGTCACTTGAGGATCACAGAGTACATTCTTCCAAGTTTTATTGGCTGTCCAGCTATACGCCTCTATGAACAAGGATAACCAGGCTTCAATTGTCTATGCTTTGTTAACCTCCATGTCAGATTACTGCAATGCGCAGAGTTGCAGTGGAAGAAAAGAAAAAGTCAGGAGGGGGGAAAGGGGTGATGGGTCTCGCCTAGGTCTGAAAACAATCTCTTCCAAAAGACCATGTGCTCCTGAGAGCTGCAACTGAAAGGGAGTTGCCTGATTAGTAGCAGCAGTTGTGTGGGTACAGTGATTTATTCTCATTCTTGACTCCTAACTGAGCAGATCAAAGGAAGCTGCCCCAGCTGATCTAGGAACTCTGGGATACAAGCAGCCAAGCTTCCAGAGTGATTGACCAGAGTGAACTATCAGGGAGAGCAAACAGGAGTACACTGGTGGGGGAGTTTCCTACCTTCCCCCATTCTCCTCCCCACTCAATTTAAGTCCCCCCCACTTTGTTTTCTTCCTTGTAACACACTCCCATTTACTGGTAGAATGTGTTGTTAACCTTCAGGGAAAGCAGGAGAAATCTCTGGTTGTCACAACAGGCCTGGCAATCTAGAATCAAAAAGGCAGCAGAAAGAATGGACTGAGAAGACCACTCAGTGGTAGCGAACTGCAACATCTGTGCTAAGTTTGTTTTCTTGCCTGAAGTCAACATGTCCTGCATGTGCAACTAGTGCAAGTTAGTAACCCAGTTGAAGAAAAGGTGAGAGCACAAGAGCAGTAAGTGTCCACTTTCAAGGTAATAAAAGAAGATGAAAAGAGTTTAGACAGAGCAGTGGAACTGCGACAGCAAAGAGTAGTATAGAAGCTAGACTTGCAACAGCAAGCTGAAGCAGAAGAGGAGACTCCTGAGGGAAGAGAAAAAAGATCATCAACAGAAAAATCAAAGATCTTACCAGCACATCAATCATCAACACAACCAGACAAGCTTGATATATTTTTACAGGAATTTAGAGAAATGAAGACAGATTTGAAAGAAGATGTAAAGAAATTAAATGTCAAAATAGATAATATGAGTGGAAGAATAAAAGATTTAACTAAACAAACTCAAGAGAATAAACAAATAATCACATAAATGAAAATTCAGATGGAAGAACAAGATAAAAAGTTAAAAAATCAGATGACCAAGATAGATCAGGTCCCTAAAAGCATGACTGAGATCTGGGACAGACAACGAAGATCAAATTTATGCCTTAAAGGATATCCAGAAGATGGGAATGAGAATGAAGATAAACTGATTCAATCAATATTGAATTGGGTTAAATCTATTCTTCCAGATGTCTCCTTTACAAGATATGATATTGATGAAATACATAGAGTTGGCCCAAGAAGAGCTGGAAGAAAAATGCCAAGAGACATAGTGGTTTGATTCTGGTCATAGAAACATAGAAACAGAGCGAGTCAGAAGGGGTCTCCCGGCCATCTAGTCTGACCTCCGGCACCAGCCGGCTCCGCTCACGACATGCCCACCATGTGGACGTCCAGCCTATCCTTGAACACCTGCACTGATGGGGCCTCAACGACCTCTTGTGGAAGCCCATTCCACACCCTTGGGGTCCTAACTGTCAGGAAGTGCTTCCTGGCATCCAGATGGAACCTTGGCTCCCTGAGCTTTGCTCTGTGGGAGCGCGTCCTGCCTTCCTCTGCAGGGGAGAACAAGTCTCTACCCATCTCCATGTGACATCCCCTCACATGTGACATCCCCTCACATACCTGTATGTCGTCAACATATCCCCTCTGAGTCTCCTCTTCTCCAGGCTGAAGAGGCCCAGTTCCCTCAGTCTCGCCTCATACCCCACCCCCTGTAAACCGGCCACCAACCTTGTGGCCCTACGCTGTACTGACTCTAACCTGGCTATATCCTTTCTGTAATGAGGGGCCCAAAACTGAGCACAATACTCTAGTTGCGGGCGCACCAGAGTCGTGTAGAGTGGTAGTAATACCTCTCTTGATCTAGAAGCCACACTTCTGGCTATGCAACCAAGGGTGGCATTCACCCTCTTGCCCACTGCATCACACTGCTGACTCATGTTTAGCCTGCAGTCAACCAGTACCCTGAGGTCCCTTTCACAAGTGCTGCTCTCCAGCCACTTGTCCCCTAACCTGTACTTATGACAGCTATTCCTATGCCCCAAGTGCAAGACCTTGCACTTATCCACATTGAATGCCATCCTGTTGTCTCCTGCCCACTTCCATAGTCTGTCCAGATCCTTTTGGATCTGAAGTACCTGTTCCTCAGTTGTGGCCACTGCTCCAGTTTTAGTGTCGTCTGCAAATTTGATCAGCAGACTGTTCACTCCTTCTTCCATGTCATTAATGAAAAGATTAAACAGGATCAGCCCCAGGACAGAGCCCCGGGGGACCCCGCTTGTCACTGGCCGCCATCCCGATGATTCCCCACTAATGGTTACCTTCTGCTTTCGGTCAGTCAACCATGCCGTAATCCACCGGACAGTGCTTTGGTGTATCCCAAAACTCCTCAGTTTCTCCACCAGGATATCATGGGGCACTTTGTCAAAGGCCTTGCTGAAATCCAGGTAAACCACATCCACTGCATCCCCTCCATCTAGCCATCCCAAAACCTTGTCATAGAATTCCACAAGGTTTGTCTGGCAGGACCTGTTTTTGCGGAAGCCGTGTTATGTGGCTGTCAGCCTCCCTTCCCTATCTAGCATCACTAGATTTCTCTCTATTATGAGCCTTTCCATTGTTTTTCCTACAATGGGCATAAGGATAACTGGTCTTTAATTCCCCATGTCCCTTCTACTACCCCTTTTGAAAATTGGGACCACTGATGCCACCCTCCAGTCCTCTGGAACTACACCCGTTCTCCACGAGATCTCAAAAATGGAGGCCAGTGAGCGTGAGAGAACCCCAGCCAACTCTCTAAGTACTCTCATGTATAACCCGTCAGGGTCTGGCGCCTTTGTAATGTCCAATGCCCTGAGGAGCCCCTCGACTTCAAGGGGGGTGACTCTAATCTGTGCCCCTAAGTCCCCAGCCTCATCTAAGCTTCTATGCGGATATCCCCCATCCTGCTTTGGGGAGAACACAGAGGCAAAATAGTCATTTAGCATCCGTGCCTGTTCCCTCATATCAGTCACTGGATCTCCTTCCTCCTTATTTAGTGGTCTCACCACTTGTCTCCCCTTCCTCTTCCAATTTACATGATGAAAGAAGCCCTTTTTGTTGCTCTTGATATTCTTGGCAAGTCTCAGCTCGTAATCAGCCTTAGCCTTGCGAAGAACCCTTCTGCAACGGGCCTCCTCCTCCCGGTATACACTTTTGTCTATTTTCCCCAGTACCCATTTCCTATGGAGGTTCCTCTTTTGTCTAATCCCTCTAACCACCTCCTTTCGCATCCATGGCGGCACTCTCCTCCGCCTCCCCACCTAACTAACTAGAGGTATCGTCAAGGCTTGAGCCTCCAAAACCTCCCTTTTGAGTGCTATCCACCCCTCCTCAACTCGCTTACCTTCCAGTAACCTATCCCAGGAGACTTTCCCCAGTCTGGCCTTCAGTTGGCCAAAGTTGGCCCTCTTGAAGTCCCAGCATCTAGTGCTTGACCTGGTGCACATCCCTAGTCCCCTGGTCTCAAAGCAAAGGATGGAGTGATCACTTGCATCCAGAGCTCCCCTACTCTATACTTCATCTATCAGCTCCTCCCTATTGGTCAAGACCAAGTCAAGGATGTTTTCCCCCCTCATCGCCTCTCGGACCCTCTGTGAGAAAAACCCTCCCTCTATATATAGGAAACGACGTGACCTGGCTGTCACCGCCAAGCAAGTCTCCCAACTAATATGCAAAAAAAGAACAATTGAGGAGGAAATTACAGAATATGACATCAATTATGTTCAAAGGTTACCAGATTCAAGTTTTTTCTGATTTATGTACTGAGACTTCATAATGGAGGAAAAATAAGTTCCAAGTTTGCCAAATATTAAAGAAAACATTCATTAAATATAGCTGGGGTTTCCCGATTTTTTGAGGTTTTCATATAATGGAAAATATTACAGAGTTGATACAAAGGAGGAAGCGCTGAAG